TTTTTTTTTTTTTTGGGGGGGGGGGGGGGTCGAAGGTGTGCTGCAAGGTTTCAGCATTTGGGAAGCTCATGTCCAGTGTCGTGCCCGCAGCCCCTTGCAATGCAGCAGATGTAGAATCGTCGTCCCGGGCCACCTTTCGCACTTGGCAGGGATGATGGTAGCTTCCCTCCAGGTCTTTGCAATGATTTGGGCCAGTTTGGCCGGCATGTTGAGCTCAGTCAAGTTCTCTGAGGATGCCAATGAAACCGAACTCTCCCAAGTGTCGGAGGGAGGCGGGCTTTACTCGTTTGGCTCCACGGTGGCCATCTACAACCCGCATGCCAGCCGCTTCGTGCAAATGCAGCTTTGATGCACTTCTCTTGCAGGGAATGCAGCTCTTCGGCGTGGTGCTGACCGGTCTGCCATACTTGGAGGTTCATAGGAGGTTATAAGTGACGTTACAAATAGTGTAACTGTACTTATAACCGAAATTAGGGGACTTATAACTCCACTTCTAACTACCCATGAACCTCTAAGTAGAAGTAGTCCCAAAGGAATTGGGGTCTGATCCTCCGAGGAACAAGGACAGCAACACGATGACATCGAAAGCGTCCAGCAGCATACATCTCGAGATGTTTGAAAGGTGGGAGCGCTTCATCATCGTGAATGCCGGAAATGGGAAGATTGGTTTGCACAACACCCACAACAATCGCTTCTTGAAGTTGGTCGGCGGAGCAATTTACACCAGCCCCGTCAAGGCCCAGGGTCCTTCGAACCCTCTGCTCGATACCTTTTACCATGCCCCCAAGCTTCACAGGGTCATTCCCCCTAAACCCTAAACCCTAAACCCTAAACCCTAACCCCTAAAAAGTCATTCCCTGATCCAGGACGTCATCAGTCTCCCCTCATCGGGTTGGGACAACGAGAAGTTCGAGATCATCGACGGAGGAGAGGTCCGTTGCGAGGTCTGACATGGAAGGCCACCATCAGATGCCCGCAGGCTTGTCTAAAGTAGCATCCAAGGCCTTGGTCTGACAGAGATCCACCGCCGCACCGGGTTTAGGGTTTAGGGTTTAGGGTTTTAGGGTTTAGGGTTCAAGGGTTTAGGGTTTAGGTCCTTACACAGCGCTCTGACGGGTTCCCATGGAGCCTCCTTTGTGCGCGGCAGGAGACGGCGAGGTGGGACTTTACAACAGGCACAACCGACGCTTCGTCTCCATGGACGGGAATGGACGCATGTATGCCAGTCCAGAGAGAGGCGACACCCTGCCCGAAAGTTGGACCCATCAGAGATTCTTTCTCGTGCCTTGATTCGTGTTTATTGCAAGAAGCTCTGTTGTGAGGACTCTTGGAAATCTAGACTAGACAGATTTCCATACCATCGCACCGTTGGGACCTCCAGGTGCCAGCAAAGCCCTACCTTGTGCCTGGTTCCGTCGTTGGCCTGCGCCAAATCTCCAGCCTGGGACTGCTTTCTTTCTTTTTAGAATCGGGTTTTGGTGGTTCCTTAGTACAACTACACCATAAAAGAGCCCAAAACCCTATTCGAATTTTTCAGGCCCAAACCCTAAACTCTAAACCCTACACCCTAAACCCTAAACCCTAAAACCCTGTATTATGCTCGGGGAGCCCGTAGGGGTGTTGCTTTTGGAGGTTGCTCTCGGGCTTTCGATTGCCATGAAATGCTTTGCGCCTGCCAACAGCGAAGGTACAACGAGCGATCTCAGAACTACCTGCGATTGAGACTTGGTGTTCTTCTGGTTGGCTCTTAGGACTTTAACTTTTAGGGCTTCTGTATGAATTACAGTAAGGAGACGAAAAGTTTAACTTTTTGGAGGGNNGGGGTTCAGAAGTCAGCCAAGGAGAGACTGGGACATGGATGGCCACCGGCCGCCCAACCCCCCGCACTTTCCTTCAAACTGGGGCTGGGAGAAATTCAAAGTTCTCGATGCTGGCGCTGGTCGGGTGGCCTTGTGGAACCACGTCCATAGAAAGATGGTCAAGATGGATGCTCGTTGAGCTCTGGAAGGTTTTCTGGTGCATTCTAGGCCACGAGCCCTAACTAAACCCTAAACCCC